GAACGCTCATAACTTTGGGGGGGACTTCATGATTTAGAAATTGTCTAAATTTCGCATATTTTGAATTTCTTTGAACATAAATTCTATCTTCTTCATTTAGTAATATAGTGAAAAACGTTTGTTTACATTTCCGACTGCATGTAACCCAAGGGCCATAGCCTATAATTAGATCTATCCCTCCAAAAAAGTAGTTCTGAGGTCACATATAAAAGTGTTTTGCAGCAAATTTTGACCTCTTTATATTTATACACTTTTAATTTAATAGGTACTCCAACAGCTGCTACCTACTCTGCAACAAAGTTTGCACTGTAGGTAAACATGTATAGATATTTATTAGATATTTTATAGTTTCTCAACTCTGGAGTTCCACTACACCTGCATGGCCTTGTTCATTTAGGCCACATAAATGTCCTACATACAGCGTGTGCCAAAAAAATTACCCTTTAAATTTTTAACTAAATTAGAATTACCCACAACAAAAGAGTTATTTCGAATTTGTGATTTTCTTATTTTTTTGTGATACTACTTGTATTTTTTTGCGGTATTCAGGAGTATCAGATAACCCAACAAACTCCATGATAGCCACAGTCAATTAACGATCTTTGGTTTAACGCTATTTCAGGGGTATTTCTCTGCTTTGCGCTATGAACTTCATGGAAAAGGTATCAAAGCTTTATTAGTCTGCCCAGGACCAGTAAAGTCGGCTGTTGTTGAGAATGCCGCAACAGAGACATGGGGCGAGGTATGTACGTAAAGTCATTCTTTGGTGCTGTAGTTTAATGTGGAGATAATAGATACAGGAGTATTTGATTTAGGACTTTGACGTGACATGCTTAATCTCCAGGAATCCAAGATGGCGGCAGCTTAATAATTTAGGCTTAAATGCCCTTGTCAATGCACTTAGCAAGCGAAAAACGAATCAAAATATTGAAGCATTAAGATAAATAATTTTAGGTGTTCTTTCAAATGAATGTCCATTATATATTTTCGTGGCCTTTCTGGCCGTTCTTATAATTGCACTCCAGTACAAAAATAGAATATTTCCATTCGTTTTTTTATCCTCGATTTCTCCTCCTTTTATCTTCTTCGCCTGACTTTGATCGAAATTTTCACAAACTAGTTAACTTTCCTAACCTCGCCGAAATTATATATATAGCTACTCGGCTATTTATTCCCAACTTTCCTTAGCAACATTTACTGGGATGATACTGCATGTTAAACCGAGCCAACTTTTCTTCAACCGACCCAACTTTTTTATGTGTATTAGAGTGTAAAAGATACGCCATATGAATATGATACGACGCATCGCATGGAAACAGATGAATTTGCGAACTATATGGCAATTGCGATGGTGAATGAACTGGATGAAAGTTGGATCTCTCCCCAACCTGAATTGTTAGCGGCATATGTCTCTCAGTACATGCCTTCCATCGCGAATTGGTAAGGGTTAGGGCTCAGAATATAGAGACCTTTCTACGGCTTCCGCTACGGTTACGAGTTTGCCTATTAACCGTCGCTCCCCTGACTACGCGGGCATTTTGAGAAAACTTCGAAGTCCTCATACGTGATAAAAAATAACTATGAGATCACATTTTCTCCTTTTTTTGGAAAAACATTTTAGAGAACTATTTCCATGACTGTTACTTTAATTATGTGTATTTTTCGAAATGGTACGCGTAAGCTATCTTCTAAATACTTGATAGTATTATAGTATCTAAAGCTTGCATCTAAAAATTTTGCTTCCACTACTTTCTCCCGATCTGTTTTGCTTGCTGATGATTATTTAATCAGATTGTTTAATCATATCGCATTTAAATTAGTTCACATTATTAAAGTATCAAATTACTTTTGAGCAAAAAAACTACGTTTTGGAACGGTGCCCATATTTTTCTCGCGTAAAACATTGCTTTATTTTGAAAATCGTCGTAAAATTGTCAAGATATTTGCTTACGTTTTTAAAACATGTATTTTACACATTTTGTTTTCAAAATATCACCTTTGTAATTACACTGAAACCTCAGACGCCGTGACTGAATAAAATCACTGAATGCCATCACCGAATAAAACATTCTTTTGTTAATAATTGTGCTGATTTTGCATAGATCAACAAGACACAACAGATCGTAGATCGGGTGGTCGGGGATGGGGTTTACTGCATGGATTACTATAGTCTCTAATGCTTTGGATATTTGAGAAATTTAACGTGACGAAAAACAGAAAAGACCCAAGTTTCTCTATGTAGCTTTATATCATTGTCAAATTAATTGATTTACGTTGCTTAGGTTTTTTAAAAGATATGTTCTTCGACTGGTAATCAGAAACCGGAACACTAAAGGTATATTTTTCCCGCAAGTAAAACCAAGTAACTGACATCAGATTTTATAAGCCAAATAAGGATATATAGGCAACCCCATTGTCTCCCGGCGAATCTATCTCTTCGAGGGCACGTCGTGATGAAGGAAACAAGTGACATATTTATGTGATAACAACTGATTTACCCAAAGTAGAATGCCGTAAATGTGTGTAAATTATCGTGTGTGGCTATCTTCGCTACTGGAAAGGGGACTGGGAGGGGTCGCGAAACGTCCTAACGAGGCACAATAATGCAAAGCTGCCAGACACCTCTGGTAATCATTGTGTAATTTGTGTTTAGGTTCTAACTACCCTCGCGGTTACAGATCATCCAACGTGCAAATAATTACCTTCGCTTTTGTTCAGTCATTAATAACAAATTGACTTTTGTAATGCGCAAATTGATAAAATGCCCCTGTAACACTCTGCAATTTCAGAAACCTCAGGTTACGGCTCTATTTGATCACTGTCTTTCTTGTCAGTAAGAAAGCAAAGATTATTTAAAATTATCATCTCATCTATTTTTTATTGCCTTTTAACCCACACTAACTGCGGCATCTAAATTATGCTTAAATTGCATAATTATTATTTTTGTGTTTTCTTTTCTCTCAGCCAAGAAAGAAGATTAGATATTCATTGACTGGTCAATCAATTTTTTCGTAATCATGTGACTCCTCAAGATGGGTTACGAATGTCGTAGGCGTAGAGTTGCGTTTTTGAATTCTCAAAATCAGACTGTAATTGCATAATGAATAGAATGAATAGACTAGATTAGTAGATATTTCTTAGCCTTTTTCTTATTGTAATGCAGGGACGGTTGTACAATAGCAAGATATAGCGCTATTTCTTAAATAGTGATTTTTCAATCACTCTAAAATTGTCCGTTCTTTGGTACATTTTTGATTAAACTTTGGTATTCTAAAACTGGGGACTTTTCTTTAATAATTGGTATATGTAGCTCCAAAACTGTAGGAACGGTGTAGTTAGGAACTGTTTACAACGGTGGTAAAAATTACAATCGGGCGATTAGGCGCTTTCCAGCCTTCGTACAACCGGCACCAGGACCTCGTATATGGTGGTATATATTAAGCTAGTTGCTTTATATTTTAAGACCGTTTCGACTATACACCCAATTTATTGGCACAGTTACATTTACTACGCAACATCACGCTTCCTTTCGTATGAAGATATGGAAGCTGCATGTCACACTGCAAAAAACCTTGTCGTAACTGGGGGGTGTCAAAGGGCCAATTGGGGGTCAACGAGATGTAGAGGAATCTCACTAAAAATACAGGGCATAAAACATTGACAGCACATCACAGGAAATAGAAGTATGTGGTGGAATTTGCATGTAATACAATTAAGGTTTCACGGTTCAAAGTCCGAACTTCGTGTATTAGTATGGTAGATGGCAATAAATACAAACAATATGTTAATTTTGTTTCAAAGATTCTCTTGATTTCAAAGATTGCGCGCGAAAATGTGAAGCTGAAATTGAGATGTTATTTAACTGTCTAAAAGTAGGGAAGGTTTGTCAATAACTTTCAAAGTTTCAGGAAAAATAATGCGTACTAGGAGCAACGCGAGACCCCTAAAGCTGACGAATATTTCATTGCGCCCAGTGGATTAAGGGGGTCTACCTGAAATTGGAGATTTCGAGCTTTTCCGGTTGGCAAGCTTATTGCTCACCATCTATTACTGCTAACTGCATAAAACTACATATATATCACCAGAAAGCTTATTAAACAAGGATTTCAAATAATAATTTTATTCCCATAGCTTAATTATTTACATCCATAATATACTTTCAAAGATAATCAAGATAATCTTCTCGAAAATAAGCTTATGCTTGAGAAAAGATAGCTCTTCATGGATGCAACTGAATTTTACTCCAATGAGCTTTTTGTGGATAACAATGCTTGAAATGATTGAATGATTGAAATGAGAGATAGATTTTTGGATATTGCAAGCAGTGGCGTAGCCAGCCGGACGATTTTGTCCCGCTATGTAAATTTCGTGTTATTATATAATAATTATTTATTCATTTCTTTAGAAATTAATTGTTTTCACAGTCAATAAACACCAAAATATTAGCATAGCGGGACAAATCGTCAGGCTGGCACGCCAATGATTGCAAAACGTTTTTATGCAACATCGTTCCAAAGTATTCGCAAAATAAAATATCGAAATTTTAAACGTTTTTCGTCTCTCAAATGGTGGGAATACACCCTATACCAAATCCTATATATTGCTATATCAACTTGTGCTCTACCATCACTGAAAATTTCAGCCAAAATTTTAGGGTCTTCTCACTTTTTCCTCGGCGCGCAACGAAGAAAGCCCCTTGAGTTTTTCGCGGCCACATCAATACAGGCATAAAAGACCATTAAATTTGAAATGAATTCATTTATTTATGAAGAAAAAATTAACTGACGTAGTTTCCTTTTATTGCTGTATAAGTATGCTGTAATATTTTAATAATTATATAAGTATACTGTCATTTACTGTACAAGTTAAGCATTACGCTGTGAATGAATTTTCTTTGTGTTATTTTCATTAATATTAATTAATTAACAATGAATTAATATTAATTAATTAATTTTTTAATTAATTAATTAAATAATTAGAAAATTAATTAACTGACGGATTTCCTTTGCTTTAATTTTAAGTATAAACTGTGAATCATTTTACGTGTCATTTTCATCTCCATTAGCTTTGTCTTTTCTACATACTTGTGGAATATTTATCTCAATATCACTCATTGCCGATGTTCAATATCACGAGGGAAGTTCTTGTATTCAATGCTTAACCACAGCATTGAAAATAACCAGCAAACTGTAAGACCAAAGCCAGTGTACATCATTGGCAATTTGGCAAATGTTGCTCCTGCTATTAGACGACCGACCAGAATACCAAAATGCAAAACAGCAATATTTATACCTTGATAAAACGAGGCGCTACTCACTGGAGTTAATTTTGTTAGCATTGAACAAATCAGGGAAAAGTTTACAGCATTTGCTTCCAAAATAAACATTGTAAGAAGCAAGAGATAGGCTGCATTTACTGACAAGGTTGTGTTCCAAGAGACAGAAAAATAAAGTAAAACGAAGATTGGGAACATCAAAAAAACTTTTCCAAGAATTAGTAAATTTTTCTCGGAGATTATTCTCAAGAAGAGAGGAGTTAAAACAAACAAAATGAAGACAAACAACGTGCCATTGATAAAAATCAGCTTCACGTGAAGAAGACCCAATCCAAGACGGTGCGCTGCCAATAACGGAACATATAGCCCAACTACCGAGTAAAAAATAACAAGTACGAAGGTAAAATAAAATAAAGAAAAAACGATTGATGGTGGGCGAATAATATTGTTTGTTCCTGAGGAAGACTTGAATGTATCAGTAATTTCACCAACTCTTTCATTGCTTTGTTTTTCCTTTGTATTTTCAATAACATTACTTGGTAGGAATATCGTAAAGGTAAGCAAGAAACACCAAAAAATCGTCATAATTACTCCTGGTGAATTTCCTGCGTTTATTTGCCAACCAAATATATCGACGTTGAATGTGAGAATGCTACCAAGTGTTGGCCCGAGTACTTGACCGGCAAAAAACAGTGCTTGAAAATATAGAAACGCCTGAGCACGATTTTCGTTTAAAGTACCTTTTGCAATTATTCCAAACAGGACAGATAATGTACTGGAACCCATGCCGCTCAAAAATCTTCCAAACATGGGAAAGTATCCATTGATCGGGATTGAATACAACATATTTCCTAATAACTTTACTACTCCACCCATCACTATGATTAGTTTGCTTGAATTTTGAAGTCTTACATTTAGGGCTCCGATAAATGGACTGAAAACCAAAGACGCCGCAGAATAAGACGCTAGAGTTAGCCCAAGAAACATATTGGACTCTTTGATATACTTCATGTAATACCAAGCAGTTGGTTGGATCAGATATTCCTCTACGCCGTCCAAAAAGAAACGGAGAGACAGATAAATGAAGACAATGTTACCCAGCGCAGTAAAATTTATTTTAGGCCAGTTCTTGCATAGTCTACAAAATGGAAAGAATTCAAGTTATTGGAAATTTATATTTTAGTACGCAGTGAAAAGCAAATTAAATTTTTAGGCCCGAGGGGCATTTTGATATCGTGAGACAAATACAAGTATGAGGAATATTTGAAAGATCGGTTGCAGGGTCACAGCAAAACTTCTACAAAATAAGGTACAAGATTTCAAACTATATTTTTACCATTCGCCATTGTTTTCAATTATATCAGGACATTTTACTGCGATTTGTAATCTCTGTATTCGCGTATCACTCCGGCAGTGCTTTATAAGATAGTACACAAAAATTTGAAGCGTATTTAAAATATATCGTTTAATTGTCAGTTTTTGCTTACTTCTATTTGTGGACTAGTAAAAGCTACAGTTAAGTGCTTTTTTTAAGATAATCCACTTTTTTTCTATATATATGCGATCGCTAGGTCTGTACAGGGTGTATAAAAAAATTCGAATCGAAATTTTGCGTGTAATAATGCAAAACATATTTGACAAATTTTTGGTTGATTTTTACACCATTGTTAACTTCATTCATTTCTCTTTCAAATGACACGTTGTATGTGAAATTTAGTTGGAAAATGAAGATTCTGAAGTACTGGTTCGACAAAAAAAGTTCCTAAAAATCACCATTTTCCGCCGATGGGAACTGGACGTTTGTTTTATTGAAAATTAGGGCTTTAAAATCTAATCATTACTGAAAACTAAAACGCAAATCTATCGCAAAAATTCTGCTTATTCAATGTTCAACGATAGAAGTTTGAAGAACACAATGCCTATGAATGAACACATAAGCTAATCTTTGTTGCCATATAAAAATTATATGCTTTACTTTAGTATTTTATACACAGCAGCTTGTCAAAGTTGGATTCGAATTTTTTTTATACACACTGTATATCCGATTCAAAACGGCCGTTCATGTTGTAAATAGTATTAGTAATTTTTTTCAGCAAATTTCTAGCATCGCGGTGCATTGTGGTTGTATGCATTTACATGCGTTTTTTTCAAATTTCCTCACTTCGCTACACGTGCTCTTACCATAAATTGTAGAAACACAAGGCAAGCACCTCCGCTCGACGAACGTTAATATTAGTAGTGAACTACAGTTAACAAGCGGTAAAAAATATTAACCAATCAGAACGTTTGTTTACATTTTTACGCTAAACCAATTACAAGGCATAAATATCAAAACATGTAACAGAAGGAACGAGAAAATAAGATCCCGTTCTGGCGTTCTAAGCATGTCGTGCACTGGTCGTGCCACTCGATATTAACGTTTTCGCATTAAAACAGTCAAATTGTAATAAAACGAGCCTTTCTCGTCAATTCTGTCGTGGGAAATTTGTGGATTCGGCGCGCAACGTAAAATATTTATATTTAAATATTCAATTCTAAGGACTTGTCATGCAATCTTGGAAAAGTCAGGAGATTTGGGACACAGTCAGGCGCATCACATCTTCTGTGATTGAAATTGTTAAAAAGTAAGCTTTATCAATCCTTAACATTATTATGAGCACTAGCACTGAATAAATCAACCAAATATTGTCATCAGTGGACTTTTGATTCCTTTGTTTTAAAGAAAGAAAACAATGGTTATGTTACCTCAGTGGGACCAGATCTGGTCATAATTAACTGCCCCAGCTGGATTTAATAATAACAAAATTTAGACCAGGAGGGGGCAGTCTAACTAGATTTGAGCAACTTGAATTAGCCAAATATCATTAACTTAATCCTTGTTTAATAAAACAAATAAATAAAAGGGCTGTCCATAGCAATGTTTAGCATATTCATTCAGTAACTTACCAACCATAAATTTTGGTTAAAAAATTTGTAACATTGGGTGCTCCATTGTCATGAATCTCGAAGGAGTCACTTGGTTTATCAAATAGTCAGGGTGGTCAAACTGCCATGTTTTGGTTGATGTAAAGGTATTTTTGTGTAAGAAGTATTTTTGTGTAAGAAGTTCATCTGCCTCAAATGTCTGTCAATTGATTGATTTTCTACTAAAATTAATGTTTTCAGATGTACAAAAGACTGAAATGAATAAAGGGTGTGCCTGCATTTATTTTACTTTTAGTCTCCTTGCTCCTTCATCTTAGTGCGGACTGCTGAGTGGAAATATGCCATGGTACTCATGATACACATGAAATGAAGCCAGGTCTAAAGCATGCAGAAGGTATTTTCTTGCAGATGAAGAAATGTTAAAATAACCCATCAGTGGGGCAATGACTGACAAAGAAGTTCACATTTGTTGCACTTAAGTGGTAGATACCTAAAATCATAGTAATACATAATTTTCTTAAAATTAAAGTGTAAGAAACAGTGGTGGGAAATGCCCTGCTAAAATTTTTTTTGCCTCCTATTTTGCCCCCCTAGAATATCAAACTATATCTATCTGTTTAATTCATTGCATCACAGATACCTATGATTAACATAAAAATGAAATATGTAATTAGAATATGTGCACATATAGCAAACTGAACATTAAAATAACCATGAATCTGTATCCATACTTATAGGAAAAAGAAATAAAATATTCTAAACTCAAATTAAAGGCTTGATATGCTAAAATTAGGTGCATGCATATGTTTATAAAATTTAGGTGAGAATATATTGTTTTGCCCCCCCAAAAATTTATTTGCCACTCAAATGCCCCCCCCCCTAATTTGAGGTCTGTACATAGCTGCCACTGGTTAGAAATTCAATATTTTTACAAATGCAAAATGGTGAAAGAATGGTGTCTCCTATTAATGTCCATCCTTTGTGAATAAGTTTTAAAAGCAAGGATTGCAAATTAAGGTTTTAGTTTTTTGGCAAATCACCAAAAATTTGATGGAAATTAGTATTAGCAAGACATACTCTTGCATTCATTGAATGGTTCTAGAGCCCTTGAAAGGAACCACATTCTTCAGACCAGCAGTAACTGAGGGAACAATCAAATGATTTAAGGTGTATTTCCAGACCGCTGTGAACCATCTAATTTATTGCAGCATTTGAAGAGAAGCAAAGACATCATCATATAATTTCAATGGTAACTTGAAGCTATAAACTAGTTTATTGCTCTGCCATGCTTCTCACCTATGGAATTTCTACTACTTAGGTATATGACTTTAACCCAGTCATGCATATTTTTAACATATGTCTTAGACAGCATTAACATGTTAATTACAATTGAGTAACAGGATTTGAGTACTATCATTCCCATGCTGTGGTATTGCCTTTACATCTGGAGAATCTTTCAGAAGCAAAGTTTTGATGTGGATATATAGCTTGAGTGTGGGTTTTTACAATTTGTTTGAGGGTATTCTATATGCTGGAAATCCTGGCATCATGAATTGTCAAAAGTTAATGCAGTAAAGTTTAGAAAAAAGGTAAAGAAAGCATTATATAATCACAAACGGTGAACAGACAGTACTCTAACTATTCCGTATGCGATTTCCAAATGCAAGAACATCGGAGCTGTCTATGTATGTACCGTAAAGGCGGATTTCCACTTACAGCGAAATAGTTCGCTTGCGAAATATTTACATATTTTCTTTTGAATTTTAACAGCATAAGAAAGTTAGGGCGACTTGACTGTTCTCAATTCAAAAGAAAATGTGCAAATATTTCGCTAGCGAACGATTTCGCTATAAGTGGAAATCCACCTTAAGTGACTTTATACGCGCTCTAGTCGAGCCGTTTTTTATAGCAAACGCTGAATTAAAATTTGGTAGTAAACTTACCGAATAAAGTCTTTCAAGAAGGCAACAACGTGCTCCATACCAGATAATAACCAAGACTAAATATCTTTCCTCAAATACAATATGCCTAAATTTTTATCAGATGATTTTATTTACTCTATATCAATGCAGGAGGCAGCAGTGCCAGTGAAACCATAGGCATTACCATAGCATAGGCATAGGCAGCCCAGATGAGATGGTGAAACATACCACTGTGAAGTACGCACCACATTCAACACGATAATCAATACGAAATTCAAAAACACCAAAAAATTCTCTCATTTCCATCATTCAAACGTTCGAAATTCAAATATTGTTTAAAACCCTTTCCAAACATTTATTAAAAGGAATAATGTACTAAATCGATCAATTGGAGCTTAAACTTTATACCTTGTAACAAAACAGGCGGAATCAACGTAAAATTTGCCCAAAAAAAGAGATTTTGTACCAACATTTTTATCGCTAATTTTGTAATTCGCGCTGCAAAGAACAATTTCCTAATTTTCTCAACCCTGGGCCATAGAAATCCTTTGAACTTTTACATTTAGTGGAGAATTATGTGCGCTTTCAAACGGTATGTAACATGGAAGTGGATTGGCCGTAGAAATATATAAAATTCCGTCTTGAAATCAAACATATTTGCACGCGCGTCTCTTATAAACTAACAAGACGCATTGTTGAGCGCTATAAGTCGCTGGGGGAGTAAAATAATGCTTTTGTTTTTTGGCATTTACTACTTTGTCTATTTAGCACATTTAACATGCGAATTACGCATTGCTATACTGAATATACAGTAGTAGCACAATAAACATAATATTTTGATGCAGCATGCTATTTACTATGAATGCCGGGGTTCAACAATTGCTTTTAATGGACAAGAGCTATAAGTATAGCAGTACAACAATAATCAATTTCAATACAGACTATTGATATTGGTTAATATTGGCTCACAGTATGGCTACTATATGGTTGTAAGGGTGTCATCAATGTGAAATACAGTAGAGTCAGTCTATCTCTGCAACATTTACACAGGGGCGTAACTACAGGGTGTCCCAAAAAAAACGAAAACTATTGAAATCACCCATAACAATGCCATTGTTATGCGGTTATGAGTTTGAATGCCTAAACACTTAAGTGTTGGGCCCACAAGTGTATAAATCGGGGTTGCCATAAGCATTTTTATGCATGCATATGATGCTGTAAAAATTGCTTGTTCGCAAAAATGATATTTATTAACAATATTTACAATTTACAAATATGGATAACATTATTT